TTGGAGCTTGTAGGCTGTTTGCCCCATAGCTTTATAAGTTAATATTCTTTTTCATTATTCTCAGATGGATGATTGCATCCTTGAGTAGGAATTTGCAGCCCACTGAAATTGTCTAACAAGTTTGCAATGTTTAATAATACTTGTTTTATAAAATTCAAAAGATAATGAGATCATATCTTTCTTTTAACTGTTCAGAAAAAGTGTTTGTTACTGTTAATTTTACCTTCTTGATTTACTAGAGATGATAACATCTAAATATTCAAGTGTGTCTTAGGAGTGGTGGAATAATTCATAACTGTAAATCAGCTGAGAGCATTTCTGAGTCTCCTGAAGAGAATTCCTGCTCGGTGCTGGCTTGGCTTCATACACTAGGATTGTTTTGGGAAGGAAAAAGCACTTACTGATCGCCAGGAGCTGAAATAAAAACCATCAACTTCAGAAAAACCTTAAGTGGATGGTCTTCTTATTGAGGCTTGACACGAGAGCTGTGAGCAGTGACTGGGCTGTCTGTGCTCCCAAATCCGTTTATCCCACGTGGCTGAGCCTGCGGTGGGCAGGACTGGGCAGTGGCCGTGCTGGAGCTGCCCCGGGCCGGGCTGGTTCCACCTTCAGTCACTGCTGCTGGGGAAATGGTCACCCACGGGCAAGGAGCTTCCTCTTCATGACTGGTCCTCAAAGCCACACAGTCAATGTCCTCCTCTCATCTGTAGGATTTAATTGTAGCTTTAGGTAATATTTAGCAGGTGCTTTTGCTTGTGGCTTTCAGACAAAAATTAACAATTTCTTGTTCCGCTGACTTTTGACTTTTTCCGTCCTTATTGCAGTTGTTCTGATATTATTCCAGTGCTTTTTTTTTAGCATTAAGGATAAAATTAAAATTTTTGCATTTTTCTCCGTTTTTGAGACAATTACTAAGAGGTGAGGTGTTATCTCCTGACTAGCACGAAGCCATGAAACACAGAGGGTTGTGCAGCAGTAGCAGGATTTGTGTGAGCAGCACAGAGCAGTCACTGAGCAGAGAACTGATGAACTCACCTCAGAGGTGTCAGTATTGGAGGCTGTGTGACAAGTTTGTGCTGAGAGCTGGAAGTCAGACACAGACAGCAGAAGACATGACAGGCTGTTCAGTACAGGTGACATGCTCTAAAATGTCAACAGACCTTCCATGCATCCAGCAAAATGTAACAGCACAGGTGAAGGCGAGGCAAGGGTGTGGTGGATAACATTAAAAAAAATCCCTTAGCTGTCTTTTTGTCTTCACCATATGTACAGCACCTCCTGCTCCGAAGGTTTGTCTTCCCCTTTAAAAACTGTGGTAACTGGGGAGCTGACAAAATGGGTGTTTTTGTTTGCAAATGGTCACAATGAACATTCATCCTCCTCAGTTCATTTCTGAGTCGTGCTGTAGCTAAGCTGTGGGAATGGATTGAATGTGCCATCCAAGCTTCTCTTTCCTCAAAGCTCATTTCCACAATACATTACCCTGATGGAATCTGTTTCCTGTTTTCTGCTCATCTCTCTTTCCTTCTACTTCTACTTTTCTGGTGCTGACCTCCAGTTTTTCTCCCTACACAGCCTGGTTATTAGAACAAGAGATTTTCATGTTGGGTTTTTTCCCTCTGTAACATCTGTGCCAATCTTGCTGGGATTTTGTACTTGTCAGTTTTCCCATCTTTTTTGTCTAACCTTGCCCGTCTGTCCTGTGTCCCTGGAATCCACCTCTTGGTGCTCATGTCTCTGCAGTTTCAATTATGCACGTACGTTCCTCAGGCAAGTGGAAGCTATTTTGGGATGCAGTGTGACTGAAATGCTGCACAGCTGAGTGACCAAAATCTATTTTATGCGCAGGTGACTCCTCTGACAGGGCTGTGTCCTGCAGAGGGGCTGAGCTGGATGCTGCCTATGGGAGCACATGGACTGCAGGAAATCTGGGATTCCCCAGGACTGAGCTGTGTGCCCAGCTCAGCACTTCAGCAGTGTGGGGATGGTACCACAGGCATCATCTGTGCATGTGTCACAGCTATGCCTGGAAATCATCCCTGCCTTGGCAGGGGTAAGAATTTGACTTCCCAGGACTTATATGATAACTTTGTTGCTTGGTTTCTCATTTATTTTTCTTTTCCTAATCCTGATGGATTTTAGAGCTGTGTTATTAAAGAATTTACTACTGACAACTGTATCATTAACAGCAATATTTTCAGTCTTGTTATTAGAAATACTTGCATCTTGAAGGACCTAGTGTTCAGTTAATTCATCAGCTGGGAGCTGAAGGTACTAATTGCTTGTAAGATGTTTAGTCCTGGATTATAAATGCAAGTAGGGAATTAAAGACCTCCACAGAACCAGAGGTTGTTTCAGATACTTTACAGAAGATTTTCAGTTTGCACTGTACCAAAGTGCAAAGAATAGATGCTTGATATTTGTGTTCATTATTCTTTTGTGCAGGGTTTGTTATGTCTGTAACACTACTTATTGGAGCATTGGCTCAAGCCAGTTAATAGATCCTTCCACATTTCTCCCAAAAGTATTGGGACTACTACCAAGAAAGTCTAGGAGTTATTAACACAAAGACCCTTGGCATCTCGTGGGGGTGGTGCTGAGAAGTCAAGGAAAGTGTGTTGAGACCCAAAGAGCAGGAAACAATGAAACCAGCTGCACTCCAGTGTGAAATGTTCACTGAGGAAATAAAATTTGTAGGAGAAGGCTACTATGTGGCTTCAGTGGAAGCACCCACTCAAAGAACAACTGCATTGATGGGATTTAATTTTATTGATTATTAAATGAAGGGATATCTCCTTTTAACATTTCAAATAAGACAAGAATCAGCTCAGTTACTCCTTTTAATCAAGTTGTAAATATTTGATAACAAATTGTGTTTTGAATGATGTTGATAATTTCACTAAAATAACAGCTGCACTAAGGTTGGACATTGACACTTGTGCTGAGAGAACTGCTGTGGAAAGTGGTGCTGAGGACTCCTCAGTGTTCTGCTGGGAACTGCCTGGTTCTGAGCTGTCTTCTGCCACCACTCGCTTGTGGGGCCATGCAAGTCATTTCACTTTTTCAAATTTCAGTTTGTTCATCTCTAAACCTGACAATTAAGGTGGATTGTCACGCAAACCAACCCTGTGTTTCAGCACCCAGCCAGTGAGATGGCTTTGGGGACCCAGGTTTGCCTCAGCACATGGTTTCCATCCTTTCCCCCAACAACAGAAATCTTTGTTTACCCCATGGAAGCAGTGGCCCCAGCTTCCTTGGCCTTGGATCTGTTTTCCTTCCCAAAGACTAGGATGAGGATCATGTATTTTTGTAGTAGTTTGCTCTTAGTACAGACTAATGTAGTTCATGTGAGGTGCTGAATTACTTCAGCTGTGAAATATTTATAGTGTTGATGTGTGTAGTTGCCACCCTACCCTTACATGAAAAAAAAAATCCTCTCTAGTTGATTGTTCTTGATTTGGAAGTAACAAACAGGCTAGATCTCTGTAACTGAAATTATGCTGACCAGAGAAGAAAAGATGGAATAATTCCGAGAGCTGCCTGGGCCACTCGCTGGTTTTACATGCATCACATTCAGTGTGTGGAGTCACACCTGTAAATTGACTGAAACATGGAACAGGTTGTCCAGAGGGGCTGTGGAGTCTTCATCCCAGGAGATACCATGGAGCCATCTGGACATAGTTCTGTACAGCTGGCTCTAGGTGGTCATGGGGGTTGGACCTCCAGAGGTCCCTTCCAGCCTCTACCATTCTGTGACTCTAAAATTCAGAAAAATGTATCCAGAATGCTTGTGTTTCCAGGGAGAAAATTCTAGTGCTGATTTCTTTTCCTTCCTATCACTGTCCTACCAACATGCCCTTAAATGAAAACCCCAGTCCTGCCATCTGCTGTGGCTCAAGGACTTCCCAGATAGAGCTTTGCAAGCCTTTATGGTTGAAAAATTGTTGTGGAGGAGCACTTTTGTGGCTGCTGGCTGGAAAACCCTCTAGGCTGAATGGCATTTTCCTGCTCCCTCACTGATCTGGAAGTAAGGGAAAGCTGCCACAGCTTTAATGGAAAGTACTGCACAGTCAGGAGAAAATTGACTGCCCCCCATGTTGCTTTGCTGTCTGCTGGTTTATAAATTGTAATGCTTTTCATTAAAAAGAAGAGGAAAAAAAGTGTCAGGTCTCTGTGGGTCCCAGATCATTAGCAGGATCAATTCTTTTTTCACTGCAGAGATCAGAGGCTACAGTCTTGCATAGCCAGAGCTTCAGCTCCTGACAGACCAAGCAAACAATGCAGAGGCAGAAGAGCTGGTGTGTGGCTGTCTGAATTGCTGTGGCTGGATTTTCACTGTGATAGAAGATTCTTTGGAGCCTGTGAAATTAATTCAGTCCCTTGTAGCATTGGGTCAGAACAGTCTCATCAGCTCCAGTACCAGAAATGTTAAATCCCTTAACTTGAGGCTTGCAGTGAAAATGATTTCTTGGTTACTTCAGGAAGTTGATCATAGGTGATGAAACTTTCACCCCTGAAGGAGGGCTGGTAATTATTTAAAATCTTTTACCTCTGAAGGTGTGTTCTGGTGCTAGTGTGAAGGAAGTTTGGTGTGGCTCAGTCCAGTTCCACAGCTCTTGGCCCACCACCGCTGCTGACATGGTTTGCAGCCATGCTGGAGGTGCCAGTCTGAGAGCCAAGTGTATGGAACAGACTGAATTTACTTCTTAGTCATGGATGTGGTTGAGTCATAAACTTGCGTGTGCTCAGTAAACACTGTAAGTGTTGGGTGAATAAATAGAACTGATTTACAGAGGGTTGTAAGACTGCACGTCACAAGGTGCCCTTCTGCTGTGACTGGTCCTGAAGTGTGGCTGTGAGCATCCCATTTAACCTTTCACTGCTTTAACCTCTCATCCCCAGCACAGTGGGATTCAGAGGGTTGTTAAAATTTGATTTTAAATTGCTCTGTAATGCTACATAGCACGAGGCATTCTCAGTTCTTTGCTTTCCCTCTCTAGGGTGGATACACGCTGTTTATACTCCAGTAGATTCTCTGGTGTTTGGTGGAAATATCCTGCATAGCTTTAATGTTCCCATGCAGCTTCGCATCTATGAAATTGAGGACAGAACAAGGGTAAGGATACTTCATTCTCTTTATAACTGAGCAGTTCTTTGTGACTATGATCTGTCATAGTCTCTCCCTCCAATTCCCTTCTGACAAACAACAACTGACGGGATCTCCGTGTCAGAGTCGTTGAAACAAGGTAAACATGAAGCAATGAGACTTTCAAATGTTGGTTATTTTTAGTGGGATTTACTCATGTGCTTCCCACAGATGTGTCCTTTCTGTGTCTTTTGTCTGCCTGTTAAACTTCATAAAACACCTTCCCTTTTGCACAAAACCATATTGCACTTTACAGACCTTTGTACCGGTATTTCTGGTAACCCTCTGCATATCACCTCTCTGTGCACACCTGGGGTGAATGCCTCATCCTGGAGAATTGATGGCACTGGGCTGGTTCTGCTGCCCACAGCTGAATTGACAAAGCTGTGCAGAAGTTGTGTATGAAATGACATCTTCTGTAGTTGGCAGTCACTACAGTGACTTGATACCATGCAAGAATTTCTTGGAATGGAGAGGCTGGGGTGGGACCTTGATCTGAAGGTTGTGATGTTCATCTGCCTGTAGCACCTACCTAAGGGAAGGGCTGGGGGAGATTACTGTGCCACCTCTTTGTTGAGGGTGACAATTTTATCCTTGGTTAATAAAGAGGGCACCTACTCATCATATCCATTGAGTTTCAAAAAGCAGCAGGATCTGAAGGAAGTGACTCTGGTTTAGTAGGCTGTTAAATAACCTGTGTAAGGCCATTGTGGCATTCTGATATAAAAATGGACCAGAGGAATGTGCAATCCAGATGGGGACTATTTTGGAGGCCTCACTTCGAGCCAGTGCTGCTAAACCACTGACACAGGTGCCAGCTCTAGTCTCCCAAATCTGGAGATTTGGGCTGGCAAAATGGCAGGAAATAGCAATTCTTCTTCACTGAGAAGTCTTAAAATAGTGTGTTGTGGACATAAGTGCAGGTCACTGTTGTTCACCCCTACAAGAGGGCACAAATCTTGCTCTAAGTTGGCTTTTACCCCAAATTGCTTTGCAGTGAGAGTGCATAGGCCTGGAGCAAATACAGATTGTTTTGAAATGCATCTCTGACTCAGTGGGAGTGAGCTGTCCTCTCCCCAGTCTCTCTGGCTTCCCAGCGGGTACAAGACCTGGTAATCTTCACATTGCCAAACAGTGGTGGGAGCAGTGGGTTTCCTGGAGTGACTTTAGGGAAGAGAAGCAGAAAAATTAATTCTTAGAGGAAGAGAGATGAAGACAAAAGTTGAAATTTAGGGGGAATTAGAGCAGAGGAGTGTGGCAGAGAGCAGAAGTGGAGGTAGAGACCAGAGTGGATTCAGCCTGACTTTGAACAGGTGAGAGTGTCAAGTGTCTTGAGAAAGTGCAGAGGGACTTGGACAGGAAAGTTATGGTGACAGGAGCAGGAAGGGGCTCACCTGGCAGAGGTACTGGGCACAGGAAGGTTTCCAGTGTGACTGTAAATAAGAACCAGCAATACATGCTGGGATTACCCTGCAGGTGTGCAGGGGAGGGTGTGTTGTTGCTGGGAAGGATGTTTGTGCTTGGTGAATGGAGAAGGGGAGACTGGGAGGGAAAATCAATGCCAGAAATGAGTGATTTCCATTGAAGTCTTTGGGGAAGATGGGCAGGAAATGCTCTTTTTTCTTTAAGTTGTATAAAAATGGACATTTAATTCACACAGGACTTAAGCTACTCAGGATCACACAACTTGGGTTGTAGCTCCTCAGTTGTGCTTCCAGGCCCCTCTCCTTGGGAAGCTGGGTGCAGCTTTGATTTTCTAAGCTTTTTATGCTAGAAGGCAAAACTCCTTATAACAGTCAAATATTTTGGTAACTTCTATGAATTAACCAGGAAGTTACACTAAAATGCCTTTTAAAATTTATTGGCACACTGATCCTGTGAGGAGGTTGTGGGAGTTGGGTATCTGCATCTTGAAAAATGTTCTGTCACCATTAATTGGGAAAGGGGTACTGCAACATTTGGAAATCCCAAATCAGACCTTTGTTCTTGTCATTTTTTGTTTAAACTTTCTTTGAAGTCTGTGTATTTCTTTATCATTTTCCTTGCAAAAATAGTGGAGTGCTTTAAAAAAACCCAATGAAATCCAACAGCTCAGAATATTCAGGACTTCACAGAAGCAATTTCAGACTTGGATGTTTCTGTGTGCTGGCAACGTGTTACGCACAGGCTGTACCTGTGCTCACAAACTTCTGCTCGTGGGCAGATGTATAAAATCAGAACTGTGTGAACAGTTGAAGAATAGCAAGAATTTCTGCACAGAGACAAAATAGAAGCTGTGCAGCTAAGGCATACAGAAGTTTGATAAAAGGCAGAAAAATCAATACTGTGATTTAGAAATAATAACACTCCCCTGCCCCCCTTCCCCAGCTAAAAATATCGTGCAGGAATCTTGAAGGGGAAGTGGTTTCAAAACAGGATTCTGGTGTGTACTACATTATTTGCTTTGTCAATCAAATTTTGTCATTTATTTGTTGAAATAATTCCATTCATACACTGGCTGGTGTGGCAGACTCAGTGCAGTGTAGTTCACCCAAATTTGCCAGTGTGAGCATACTGCAAATGAGTTTCTCATCAGTATTGATCTTTCCATTGTGTATGGCACAGAAGTAAATTACATGATGTGATTGACAAAGTAATTTGCCACACTCAAATCAAAGTGTAATACAGGTGTGCTTCTCCTCTTCATTTTGCACAGAGCAATTTTATGGAGGTTTCACTGTGTTTAAACCTGCTGTGTAATGTTTAATCATCTTTGATTGCTGATATTCAAAGTCATTTTTATGCTAGGTGTAGTTGTTATTGTCTTAGCTCAGACAAGAATAAATACAGGGTTGAAATGGTAATGCTGATTTACAGCCTGATAAAATTGCCTAGTTTATATACTTGTCATGCTTATTCTAGCTTAATTCCTCATACCCCTGGGAGACTTTTTAAGAGGGTTGTAGCCATTTAAAAATAGTTTTAAGGAGTAATAAAAAACATGTCTATTGTTGGAAACAGCTCCTAATGTGCAATTGAGGTAAACAAATATTCTCCAGCCTTACAGTTCGTAGAGACTCTCATTTTGCAGCCTGGCTTTCCTGGAGGCCAATTAACAACCAGTCAAACAGGCCAAGCTGTTTAGCTCTCTGCAAGCCCAGCTTGAGGAACTGCAGGGCAGGATGCCATGCAGGGATTCATCATTTGGCACAGGGGTGATACAGCTCTCTAGTACTGAAGAGGAAGAATGTGTCAAACTTACCCCCAATTAATCTAAATTTAACTACTTTAACATATTGGAACGTGGTGGGAACAAGGGCAGTCTGAATATATACGTAAGGTGGTCACTCACAGATGATGGTGTTTGCTATTCACTTGGTTTTCTGGAATGTAAAATAACATACTAAGTGAATAGCTTAATTATTTTATAAATAATCATAAATTGCTTTTCAATAGTGTGATTAGATTGATTAAACACAAGTGGAGTTTGTAATGACTTTAATGAGCATTATGGAAGAGATTATGACTTTTTTCTGGAAAACGTGTGTCTTGCTTAAGGTTTTTGTTTTGTTTGTGGAGGGGTATATAAATCTCTAAAATAATTTCACTTTGAACTGAAGAAATGGATCATATTCCAGAGAGGATTTTTTTCTTGCTGTACAGGAATAATTAAATTTTTTTTCAGTGGATTGTAAATTATTAATCACAGAAGTTAGAGCTGGAAATGCCTATTAGATGATCCAGTGTATTTCCCTGCTGGTGGGGAATTCAGTCCTCTGGCAGTGTCTGGCTCAGATATTACACTTCAAACTCATCACAGAGTATTTTTAATTTTTTTCTTCTTTTTCTTATTCCTCCTCCCCTGCCCTTAAGAGTTCATTTGCCTATGAGTGTACAATGGAAAGAGTATGGACATGCACATAATGCAGTTCACATCCGTTATAATTAATAAATGTTCAGGGATATCACAAAGAGCATATTCCTCTATACTTTTCCATAAGGCAAACTTTAAAAGTTTTTAAAGCACTGTTGGAGTCTCTTTACTGGCAGAAGGCCCTGTAGATCTCTGCACTGTATCTTTTTCTACAGATGGTGTAGAGAGCTCTTCCTTCTGAAGGTTTGTAAAAGCAAAGCCTTCTTGGGCAAACAGTGGATTACAGAGGCATGGAGGGATTTGCTGTGGGTTGGAACATTGATAGCGAGGCAATTAGGAACTCAAATTGAATATTAAAGATTGATATACATAATGGGAGCACTGCATGCATTACTGCCTTGTCTTTCACATTGAATTAACATTGGTAACAACTAAATTTGGTGAAGCTCAGAATCTGTCAACAAATGTTGAGCAATGATGTCTTTAATATTCCCAGGCATGTGGCTGAAAACCTTTTGAAGGCTGAGGGGTGGAAGGCGGCTTCCTGTTTGTAAGTCAATTCTTTGCAAATTTTGTTTCCTGCAGTGCTCTCTTGGAAAAATTTGAGTTCCTTTATTAGCATATATTTTAGCATGGATAATTTCCCCTGTGTTCCCTAATAGTCATAAGTGACTTGATCTCTTCTCTATGACAAATAACTAAACTAAAGGAAAAATTTTCTTCAATGCAAAAAGGCCCTGGGGTTAAATGTTCTCACATTTAGGGGGTTGTTGTTTGGCTGGTTGTTTTTTTTTTTCCCTTTTCATTTTTCCCTTCATTTTTCGCATGTGTGCTTTGTAACAAACCACACAGGGAAACATTTGGGAAGGTGTAGCAGTGCTGGATGCATGACCTATAGCAACAAGCAGTTCAGATTTGCCAGCTGTATTTGTGTTGAATTTAAGGGACTTTAACTTCTGGGAATTACCATGGAGTATTTAATCCTACACTGTGATGCATCTAGTGTGACAATACAGTATATTTTGCCTTTGTTACATTTTGTTTTACTGCTAAGAGTGTTTACATTTCCTGTGCCCTGGAAACAGAGGCAAGTTCTTTGGCTGTCCACCTGGGGGACAGGTTTCAAATCTGGGCATTCCAGTAAGTCACTGATCTGCTCAAGTGGATGCTTTGATCACCATGCAGGTGTTTGGACAGTGCCTGCTTTGCACAGCTGAGGCTGAGTTTGCAGGTGCTGGGTTAGTGGTTCTGTTCACACTTGGGGCCTTTGGCTGATCTGTGGTGGGTGGTGTTTTGGTTTTATTTCTGAGCTAATGCTCCTTTCTGGTGCAGTTCAGCTTTTCACTAAAGGTGGGTGCTGGACTTAGGGAGCAGTGAATATGTAGAGAATGTTTTAAAGCAGCTCCTGTAACCCCAGTGCAGTGCATGTGAGCCTGCAAAATGCAGATTTCTGTGCCACCAGGAGAAAGAGGTGTACAGTGTAAGTACAAGTGCATGCAAGATGCATGGCATCCATTTTTAACAAATCACAACAAATACACATATCTTCCTGCATTGTAGGAGCTTCCCAGATCCTTCTGTGGTACAGTGACCTTCTACAGATAGAAAACTATGTTGGAAAGGAAGGAAACCCTCTTTGTTTTCTTTTGTATCTGAAATACTCGTACAAATAACTAGTGTTGGAGAATTCAGCTTTTTGTGTGAGAACAACAGGTCTGAGATGTAAGAAAAAGTACACAGCTTGACAGGATCTTTTGTCAAAATCCTGCTCTTCTATTCTTACTCTGTTTGTGGCAAAGGCTAACTTGCTACCAAAGGGTAAACCTTTGGGATAAGGGATTTTTACTTTAATGTGTAGTTATCAAGGATTTGTGTGGTAATTTCTTTAATCAAATTGTTGAGACAACCACAAATGAAAAAGATGAATTTCCTGCTTGACTCATTTTAGGTAATGTTGCCATTTTGATAAAAATTCTGTGATAGTGTTTAGTAGATGAAAACCCACACCTTTATTTTAAGTTGTAGTGACTAACATCTGTATGTGACCACCCTATGTTTATACAGCAGGTAAATATAGGGCCATCCATCAGTTTCATGATTTCACAAGAACACAAACCCTCTCCTCTCCCACCACCCCAAGAGGATACAAATTAGTGAACCAAGAAATGATGCTGCCGTGGCAGGCAGGCTGGTTCCTCATTCCGTATGCTGGAGGCATTCCGCTCTCTGCTCCCACCCTCTCCCCTCCCCCTCCTCACACTGTTTGTGCTCTTGATAACACGATGGGAATGATGACTGGCCCTTGTGCTGCAAACTTCTCTCCCTTCCCTATGGACTGACAGTGTTGATTTGTTTCCAGGTGCACGCCAAATTCCGCTATCCTTTCTACTATGAGATGTGCTGGTATGTTCTGGAGAGATACGTGTCCTGTGTGACCCAGCGCTGCCACCTCAGCAAAGAGTACCAGAAAGAATCAATGTTAATTGGTGAGTGAATCCTTTGAGTGCAGATTCAGAACTGATGCTGGCACCTCAGGCTAGCTGCTGCTTTGGTTTCTGCAAAGCAGATTATAAATGGAACTGGAGAACTGGAGAAATTCTAATGAACTCTTTCTTTATTTTGGGGTGGGGAAGATTTTTGACTCTTAAGTGTTTCCATGAAGTACCAGCCTACTTTGAATTGTATTTATTGAACATTCCTTTAGCAAGTGGATCCCAGAAAATAATTTTTGGATGTGTTTGTTTGTTGGTTTCAGTAATGTTTGTGTTGGGATGATCTGCCAAACAGTTGAGGATTTACTGCCATGTTCAGCACAGTACTCAGTAGCTGAAAATGTGTATATTGCAGATGTGCTGTGGTGGGGTGGATATTTTGTCCTTTTGTAGAGCAGCTCCTGTACAGAACACATTGTGGTCACTAAACCTGCCTTCTTTTTCTTCTCTTTTCTTTAAATTCTCCTGTAATTCTCTGGTGACTGGGTTCTAGAGCTGCAGAAAAGCAAACCCAAGAAAACACCTACACAAATCTCCATGATCTGTAACCCAGGTACAGGGAGGTCAAAGAAACCTTTACAAGAGCTGAAAATGGACCAGAGGAGAGACAGACAGATGTGCCTGAGGCATTACCTTAGCACTGGTGTGAGCTTTGCATCAGTGTGTGCCAATCCAATTGTTGCTGTGCTGAACTGCCCTTTTTTTCCTCTTTTTGATGGAAGATGGTGGTGGGCCATGTTCCCTCTGCTTTTAAGCACAGAATAGCTGAAAATAGCAAGCACCAGCTAAATCTTAACTGATATGTGTTAAATGTGGGGGAGGACTAAAGCATTTCTGTGCCTCCTGCTCCCTGAGGTGCCACTTGGAGTGAACCTGGCATGGCTGGCACTGCCCCAGGCTCTGGACAGAGAAGGGAAACATTCACCTATGAGAACAGTTCTTAATAGAAGAAGTTATGGGCAGGTGTCACTCTCCAGTGAGTTTTACTGACCAAAAATAATTTAATCTTTGTGTTAAAACTGGTTTGTTCTGTGGAGCCTGTATCTTGATATAGTTCACTTGCTGAGGGATGGGATATCCCTAAAGACATCAGTGTTCCAAACGCTACCTCTTTGTTTTTAAGCTTTTCTTCAGAGCTGCGAAGTCCTTAAATTGTCTCTTCCTTAGGGACTTCTCTATCTGCAAGCAATTTCTTGATTTCCCATGAGGAAGTATCCCTTGACAAAGAATTTCCCATTATTCTCCTTAAAGAGTAATGAAGCAAAGTACTTAACTTCTCCTCAAACCCCTCAGTAGATTTAATTGTCTTCTGTCCTTCTTGGTTTAAGAAAATCTTCATATCCTTGTATTCATTTTCAGAAATTTATCTTGAATAATCTAACTGTTTCTCTTACTTTTAAAACATCATTTCCTTGACTGGAAATTTGTTCTAAATTTGTTATAAATGTCTACTTTCTGCCTATCCTTTTGGGTGCTAGAACTGACTCTTTTTCACCCTCCAGTTGTGCTGCTTTATTTCAGTACGTAGCTTCTGGTACAGTGGTTGTAGTGGATCTCTGAAGTTAAGAAAGTGATTATCAGTAGAGCAGGACATTGACCAGAGAGAGTGCAGGACACTGCCCACAGTCTCTGGGATTCACAAGGGAGTAGTTTTCATAAAATTTGTGGAGATTCTGTTCTCCTGCATAAAGAAAAAAAATTTACTATCTTGATAATGAACTTTGTTGGAGAACACAGAAAACTGAGTTAATCAGCAGTTGGATTTTAAGGATATCTTTAGACTTTTCATACTGTGTTTTTATAACATAGTATTTATTTGCTTTGACATGAAGGTTGTTAAATTTAGAGTGACTTTCAAGACACTGTCTGTTCATGAAAGTGTATTTGTGTGATTGTGTTGTGATACCTCTGTACTGATACTTGTATGTTGCTGTAGCAATTTATATTGTTCTTTGTATTTCTGTTTTCTAAATGTCTCCACTCACAAAACTTCAGTCAGGAAAAAAAACCCACCTCTGTGGAAGCATGGCTGAAACCTGGAGTCTTCCCACTCCCTAAATAAAAACGTGAGTGCAGCTCTAAATGAGGTGGAAGATGATGGCCGTGCCTTCCTCCCCCATTCCTCAGGCCCAGGATGAATTTCCAGGCTGTGTCCTCCCAGGCAGTGTGTGAGGCTGTTCTTTCTCAGATCTCTCCCAGGAGGGCAAACACTCAGGGGGATGACAACATGACAGCAATCACAGGCTGCTGTAAAAGCACACAATCTCTTTTTCTCTTTTCTTTTGCTTGTCTCTCTCAACTGGGACATTTGTCCTACCAGGTGAAATCAGAAGGGAGCCTATTTGGGTTTCCTACTAGATTTGAATGTGTGCTGTTTCTCAGGGTGGATATGTCTTCATTATTTTTACTCTTATCATGAATGAGTCTGTACTGGATGTTTTCAACCACAGTTGACCTTCAGTGAGATATGGATGTTGAGAGTGAGCTGACAAAGAGTAATTGGGAGAAGATCCTGGGCTATCAGAGACGTGCTTTCTCTGTAGCCTGCAGCTTTGAAGATTCCCATTGCTAAAATTTTAACAGGATGGCTCTAACTGTATGTTAAGCCTGATGGATATAGAAAATATGCCCTCTGGCACAGTGAAGAGCCATGTCTCTTTTTTCTCCCTCTTCCTCAGGGGATAGAATAGATTTGCTTATGACAGACAGGTACCTGAGTATATAGAGTGGTTCCTGTATGGGGTGCTCCATGCAGTGGAGCAATAGGATACATTTCCAGCATGCTCAGGGTTTTTCTGCTAATGAAAATGTCATTGCTGTCTTTAGCAGACTGATAGCAACTGCTGCTCCCAAGTCACAGTGGTGTGGTTTGGAGCTGGGAATGGCAAGGTAGACACTACACACTGGATTGTTCTAAATAGTTCAGAAAGGTTTCATAATTATGCCTGACCCCCATCCCTTTCTTTTAAGTTCTGTAATACAGTAAGTTGCTTTTCAACAAGGAAAGAAACTGTGTATAATTATTCTTGTACAAGTGGATAACTGTGAGGAAAGTTAAGTGGTCTGCCCAGAACCACAGGGAAGTGAACTGCTATAGAAAAGATTTCTAATGCTCTGTCCTGTGGTCAAGTCTGTGCTGCTCCACCTCTTCACTGGACTAGATCACACACTGGTCTGTATGAGCTGCTTTTATTTGCTTTGAGATGAGGGGGGTGAAGGTATTTTTGCAATAAGTTGTATGAGAGCTCAGACTGGATAACCCCTCTGAAACTGGAGTTCAGACCAGGGACTCACTGGGGCGTGGACTCAGGAGAAGAAACTGTTGAGCTGAGCAGGTGCTATTTCCCACAGAGAGACTTAATAAACCAGAAGCCTCCAAGTCGGTGGAGCCCTGGTAATACAGTGCTTAAAATGCACTTCTCAACAAAGTAAATGCAGATTATGCTTATGTAGGGCCTCAGCTCACAGCACAGTAACTCTGTCAGACAGTGTTTTCATTGAAATGAATAAATAAAAATCGTGGCATGTTGCATTACAACAAAACACTTGAAAACACAAAATTGAATCTCCCTCACCTTGAAGTTATCCTTCCATTATTGATTCCCTCAGCGGTTTTTTTTTAGATTAGCAGCAGTAGCAGACAGTTGTTGTGTTTTGAGAGCAGCCTGCTCTTAATCCGGTGGTGCACCAGCACTGTAATCCCCTGGTGCTCCAGAATAGCCTGGTACACTCCAGGTTAGCAGCAAGCCCTGTGCCCATGGAGAAAATGAGGCAAGGCATGAAGTGACTGCCAGGCTTGCAGAGAGCAGGGCAGTGCTGTGGTGGTGGTTTGTTTGGGGTTAGATGGGAGCTGTTTTTGCCTGTCCATGCCCAGGTGTGGCTGGCACAGCAGGGACAGCCGGTGGCAGGGACGCGGTGGCAGCTGGCAGAACGGAATTGCCGGCCCCCCTCCATGTGCTGCCTTCTCCTGGGAACAAGCCCCCAGTATGCTCTGGTGCTCCACTCCTCTCCTGCCTTTTGTTCCATAGATTAGAGCAAGAGACAAAAAGTGGAGATCTCTCTTGGAAGCTTTTTCTCCTCGCACCAGAGCATTACTTGGAGTAAATTATTCACACCTCCATAATGTGATCTCCCTCGTTTTCTTTAGGCCTTATTTACACTTGTGCTTTGCCCCAGTTACAGCCATTAGTTCCTGTTCAGCAGAACTAGACATAGGAGGACAGAAACACGATTTCCTTTGTGCAGATTTACACCACTTTCTGTTAATGCCACCGTCCTGGCAGCGTAGGGGTATGGATCTGCTTCCACCCTCTCCTGTTTGAGGCCAGTTCTCTGGCATTTTCTCCCTTTAAAGCTGGGCTTTGTGCTTGAGTCAGTTGTAAAACAGCTCACTGAGACTGTGTGGCTCAGAAAAAGGGGGCTCCAGCCCTGGATCCGACAGCCTGGATTCTGATTCCTGGTTTTTCCCTAGATTTGATGTGTGACAATGAGCAAATCGTGCTTTCTCCCAAGCATCTGTTTCCTCAGTTGTAAAATGGGAGAATGACATAAGCTGATTATGTAGCCTTTGAGGTGGGTATGTGTGCTTGCTACTGTGGACAAAGGAAAAAACAGTGTGAAATAAAAGTTGGATAACTGAGTGGGTTTTAAATGTTCTAGTTAAGATATTTTCTAATCCTGTTTATTTTTCTAAGAGAAGCATGGGGGTGTATTAGCACAGAGCAGAGAGGAGGAGCTGCTTTGGAGTGCTGATACCACCACCTCAGCACACAAAATAATCTGCGAGGCTTTTTTGGAGGGTTGCAGGGAGGAAGTTACCCTGCCCCATGGATGGAGCTGGATTTGGCTGCACTCTGCCTTGCTGATAGCTGGTGTTTTCTGTGGCTGCCATCTTTTCACAGGCATTTCAGCTTAAACTTGCCTTTCAGGAGTCATTTTATGGCCATTTTGGTTTTGAGGAAAAATGCAAGCCTGTCTGAAGGAGTAGACTGGAGGGAGATGCTGGATTTTTGCACACCCTCTAGCAGCAGCACACTTACCCTGAGGTGTGAGGTGACCAACTTGTATCTCTGGGGCAGTAACACACAGAGCTGAGCTGGCCTTGCAGGGTTTTTATTTGGAACTGCAGGGCTGAGCAGCAGGCAGGCTGAGCAAGCTGCCCTCAGACACTGCCACTGCCTGTGGCATCTCTGACCAGTGTGTTTGTGACAAGATGGTGCAGCCTGAGCACAGTCAAGGAGTGTCTCTGTCATAAGGAGGAATTCTCCAGCTTGGAACTGGGTTCCAGCATTGGTTTTGAACCTCACTGTTAAACAACCGGATGCTGAGCTTTCTCATTAATGTTCATTTAATCCTTCCTTAAGCATGGTTCACATTGTCCTAATCCAAAGCTACTGCACTGCAAAGCATGGAAGCTGTGAAAGGAACTTTTCATTAATTGTTCTCTCACTTTTTCTGTGTTACTTCTGTTTCCTTCGCAGTGTGTTGTTGTTTGCAGCTTGATCTCATTCCTGTTTCAGCCAGTAATAAAATTCACATTGATTTAACTGGGTGTTGCCAGTGTTAACTGTATTTTCCACAGAAATTCCTGCTGTTGCTAGCCTGCATTCAGTGTTGTTCACTTAGTAAGGGAAATTGTGTCTAATAAATAAGAAAATATGTGTGCTTGAGGGAACCATGGCCACTGGTTTCCTACATTGCTTTCACTGCTTGATTGCACAGAGTTGGGTAACAATTGGGGCTCTTAGGGGAAAATGAAGATTAATAGTTCTTTAGACTCAGAAACTTGCCTTTAAATTTTCCTGAGAAGTACCTAAAATGTATTGGGAATGGCATTAGGAAAACCAGTAGCATGTAGCTGTGACAGTCCCTGTGTTTCTCAGTGTGTTTTGTCTTGTTGTCATAAAATAAGCACAGTTAAAATCCTCTGTCTCAGAAGAGCAATGAGTATTCATGCACTAACAACTGGGGGTTCTTGTTTTATCAACAGTTTGTTGCTTGCAGAGAGGAAAAGTAGTGAGGAGTTGATTTTGTGCTGTGCAGGGTTCCTGGAAGAATGATGATGTAGAGCATTTTAACGTGCTTTCTCCCATCATTTCCCCCTCCTCCTTCTGTGCTAACTCTCCTCTTAAAGCTGTAAAGCTGCCGAATCTGGTCTTTTTCGGATTTGTGGGAAAATTAATTGTGTGTGACTTAAGAGCTCTGCCTACTCCTAATTGAAGGCATAGAGGACTGAAGCTTTGAAGAAAGCATAATTTTTCCCTAAATGTTTCCCAGTCATTTGAACTGAGTAGATGTTAATGAAAACCAGCATTAAAACAGACAAACAAGCGCCCCCCTCAAAGAAAAAAAAATTAAAAATCAGCTGAATAAAGCCCATTTCTGTCACATACTCACTAAACCATTCTCCAGTGCCCTTTGAAATAGGCAGCACCTGGCCCCAGTGGTACAGAAGTGCTTCAGCCGTGAGGTTACACTGGCTAAAAATTCAGCATTCTTTTTCTAACTTTCAGATGCAAAAAGAAAACGCAGCACAGACAGCTACTCATCAGATTCGTGGTTAGACATGGATGAAGAATCTTGTGATGCCCATCTCCAGGAGGAGAAAGATGACAGCTTGGATAAGAACTCCAGATCCTTGGTGGATGGCTCCTCCTCACCCAACAGCACACACTCAGAAGGGAAGGAGGCTGCAGGGAGGAAACAGAAAGCCACAGTAATGAGGTACCTGAAAAGAACTTTGTCTAATGAGTCAGATGACAGCATAAAATCAACGACCCCGACGGACTATCCCAAAACACCCACGGGGTCTCCAGCTACAGAAGTTTCAACCAAATGGACTCACCTCACAGAATTTGAACTGAAGGGTTTAAAAGCCCTGGTGGAAAAGCTTGAATCTCTCCCAGAGAACAAGAAGTGTGTTCCAGAAGGCATTGAAGACCCTCAGGCTCTCCTGGAGGACATGAAGGTGGGTGTGATAACTTGCTGATCCACACCAACTCTGCTCTGTGGGCACAGCAGGGAGCACAATGCAGAGTTCTGCTGCAGAGGGGTGGCAGCTTGTGTGTGGTGGCCAGCTCATGTCAGGCTGCTCTGCCACAGACAGGGAAATTATTCCTTGAACCAAAGCTGTCTCTGGCTCCTGTTTGCAGCCAGATTTAAGTGATGCAGTCCTTTCTGACTGTCACAATAGTGGCCAAAAGTTTATATCCTCTCATAATTCAGCACTTGTTATGTTCGACATGTAAATATTATACCTCAAAAAGTCTGTTTATATTTATAGTCTTAATCATTCCTTTTTGGTCTCGTATCTCCCTGGTGTACACCTCATTAGCTGACACATACAAAATGTAAATACTTGATTGCAGCTCGGAAGATAGATTGTCTAACACTTCCAGCTGCTTTTTTTTTCTTTCACCTTTTTCATTTTCCTTTCCTCCATTGCCCTCTATAGGTTGATAATTATTCTCCACTGATACAATATATTGGTTTTGGAGCTAGTATGAAGAGTGAGTGCTTACTAGTGACACAACTTGTCTGTAGATTTTCAGTCTGTGAACAGTATGGATATTCAGTTACATATTTTCTATACACAAGAGCTCTGTAAGGCACAATCTGAGGGGAAAAATACATGTTTATGTGGTAAATGGGGAGGGAGCCTGTACTATTTTAGTGCAAGTGGTGTTACAGCTGCTTAGAAAGGCTTCAAAGCCATTAGAGAAGGCTGAACATGTGCAGTGTGCAGTGGAACCATATTCCCTGATCTTGGAGCTTGGAAGTGTGATGCACTGCTCTCGTTCTGGTAAACCACAAGAGCTCAGAAATTCTCTTCTTGCAAAATCAGCCACTTTGAACATGAAAGTGGACACACCTGCTCGAAGTTGTGGATGTAGATTCACGAGCTTGTTCTGGGATCAGTCATCTTTTAATCAGAAATCAAAAGAAGTAGAATTTGTGGTGAAGCAGAAAGAATAGTGATGTTACTTCTCCAAGCTTGATGCACAGGATAATTTTCACTTAAAAATCCAGAAAGGGGTGCAACATATAATGGCTGGTGCAGATGTTCCGAATGGGATCCTGCTCCCTCTCTGGATGACAGACTCCAGAGTGCTGTGAGACATCTCCCTAAAACACAGCAAGGTACCATATGTGAATCTGGCTTAAAGCTCCGTGTGGGAGTATCTGTTTTCCTATTCGTCTCCAGAGCAGTGGATTCAGTGATTACAGAGATGGAGAACTACAAATGGACTGTTTAAAAAAAGGCCAGTATCACCTTTTTGGTGATACTGTGCTGTAACTAGTATTAAGTGAGCACCTGCCAGTTTATTGTGTACAGCTTGATGTTCCATCTCCTTTAGAACCTGCCTGCTTCTAAACTTTCTGTCTTTGCCAGCACATGCTGTAACCATCGGGATGTAACCCAACATCTGGATGCTGATGGTTCCCTGCTGGTTAAAGAGCCCATGACCACATCTAAACATCAGACATGTTGCAGGATTGTTTCCCCTGGCATCACCTCTGGATGTTTGGCTGTCTGTGACTGATTAGTCAGACTGAGATATTTTCAAAACCATGTAAACTCAAACATCTTCTTGAACAGTGTTTAAGGAACTGCTAAAGAACTTTCTCACCCATCTTTTTTACAGTATTGACCCACATATAAGCCAGCCCTCAGTCTTGAGAGAGTGGGAGCCAGTATGACAGAGTAAATTAATTAAAGCCCATGCAGTCAGCTTCCTCCATAACTCCCTGTGGCTGCACAATTTCAGGTGCTCTGAAGGAATGGGGGCAGTTTGGAGCAGTCCAGTACATTGCCTCCAAGGTCAGGGGGGAGTCAGGATTCCCAGCAAGGCCTTCTCTTTGCTCATCATCAGATTGTCACAGGCAGCCACTGACAAGGTGTGACCCATTCCCACCTACTTCTGGGAGCCTGGGTGCTACAGCCATCCCTCCTTTCTGCCACTGTGCTCGTTGATATAGAGAGCAGTGCAGTGGAGCCAAAGCATCCAGTCTGCTTGGAGCATGAGGTTTGTTTTATTCAGTCTATTCACTTAAAAAAAAAAAAAAAAAAAAAAGAATCAAACCCAAGTGTGTGAGTGTGTTTAGAGCTTTTACCTTCAAAGGCTGGAGTGTGCTGAGGGAGGAGTTGCCAAGTGACAGATTTTAGTCCTCTGAGCATGCTCCAGCGTAATGGTGCTTGCAGGATCCAGGGTTCCTTGGGGTGAGGATGCAGCTGTTCGCTGGACAGGGTGAATGAATGGTCCCTTGGGGTTCCCAGGGATCCCCACCCTCTGCTCCCACATAATGGATGAGCTGTTGTTATCACAGGCAACTGGAGTGCAGAGAGATTATGATAAAAGTAATTTTGGGTGCTGCCACAGGACAGTTGGTGTATTTAACAATGATACGTGCAAAAGATGATTTTAATTATATTGAAACAGTAGTGGCTTAACATTTCTGCAGAGCAGGAGTTCTGATCTTTAGCATCCAGATCCCAAGCCAGGCGTGAGGAAGAGCAGGAGCACACAACTCATGACACTCTGTAGAAACTTCACTTAAAAGATTTGCTCTGGTACCACATAAAGACATAATGGCAGAGGAAGAAATACAGTCCATTTTCCAGAATGGTATTTATCTCCTTGACTACTGAATCATGTTCTCTCTTACTTTGCTACTAGTTTTCCAACCTGTACAGATAATAATGTGGGGGGTTTGCTGATAGCATCAGCAGTGGAGTGAGCAGAGGCCTGGTCCCTTTACCTCACCCTGCTGAACACCCAGAGCACCAGTCAGCTGTGTGACTGAAAGGAGGCAGGAATCCTGCAGGAGCTGTGCAAATGACCCGTGCTGTGACTGTATTTGGCTGTATTAACAAGGTTTTTTTCATGGGCAACCCAACTTTCAGGCATGTGATGTATTAATAATGCTTCCTATTCGAAGTACCCTTTTAGTGCACTCATTTGAGAGTTATTTTTAACAAATGCATAGCAAGAACATGCTCTGACAAAGTCTGAAAGCTCTTGCTCTGCTGGGAAAGTCTTAAACAAGTTTCTTCCTGAAGCAAATAAATCAGTGTTTATTCTAGCACTTTTATTTCTTAATGAAATACACTCATGAACTTTTTTTGTATGACATTCAAGTCTGTCTTTGTGCTTTAGGAAGATAATTAATGTTTTCAGAAAACAGGATATGGATAGTTAAACTGGAGAAAGGAACCATTTTATTCAGTGATGTGAAGTTTCACAGAACTAATCGTGGTAGCTCACAAAGAATACTTGCTTTCCCAGCTGAGCAAGAGCACAGTAAAGGATGGGTGACTGGATTACTGCTTTTAGTGGTAAACACAACCACAGCTATTTAATGTCAAGTAGGTGAGATTTTCTGAAGTAAAGTAATTTATTTTCCTTACCAGAAGGGAGACTGAAAACTAAACTAAGCCTGTGTAAATTCCTTACACATCATCTGAGCTCCAAACTAAGTGTGCCTGTCTGGTGGGGACACAGCAATCCAGAAGTGCCAACTGCTGCCTCTGCAGATTGAGCACCCATTTATCACCGTGATCGATGGAGTGCAGCAGCACAAGGGAGGCTTATTTGCAGAGTGGAACAGGCCTCACTTGGAGAGCAGGTCAGTTCTTTCCTCAGCCCAAACAGGGAATTAAATCCCTGGTGGTTGCAGCAGTGCTGGGGTGGGCTTATGCATGAAGAAGAGGTCACCATTGTACTCCTTGGTGTAGTATGCACTCCACCTCACAGGACAGGTAAAGCTGAGCAGACCTTGGATTGTGGCAGTGCAGCCCAAACATTAAACCCACTGCCAGGGATTCTCACCTGTGTGCAGCCTCTGATTTCTGCATGAAACATTTCTGTGTGTTACCAGAGGATGGTAATTCTTCTGCTGCTGTTGGGGAACAGGATTGTGAGATCTGCCTCTTACTAAGGCCACAGACCTTGCCCACTTCAAAGCAAAAACATTGCCCTTCTTCAGAAGGGCCTGTGGAAGTCCATTAGGGCAGAAGAAACTTGGTTTGAAGAACAGAGGTTGTCAGATATCTGCAACTCCTTGGCAGCAGGAGAAGATTCTTGTGCAAGACAGATGATATCTACTGAAATATGTTCTTACTTTTTCTTGCCAAGAAATCTTACCCCCTTCCCATTCTGATGACGGAAAAAAACCTCCCTCTGCTGAACACATTTCAGGGGAGTCATTCCTTGCTGTGCTTTTGAAATTAATGGCTAAGCTGAATTCTTATACAGTTAATCAGCTTCTTCCCTTCATACCTGCTGTTGTCACCACAGCCCTCAAGTGTAATGAATCGAGCCACCTTGTGCTGGAAGAGCATCACGTTGTTCCTCTAACTGGAGCCCCATGGCTTTTCTGTATCTTCTTTTTTCTTGTTTTTTAGCAGGTGAACAAAACCCTGCCTCCCCCAGCCTGTTGTGAGCTGACACTTGACGCTCCAGTCAGCGCAGCCGTGGCTGTGCTGTGCTGTGCTCTGTGCAGACAGCCGTTGTTTTCAGCTGCCTCAGATGATAAGCTGCCATAGTTTTGCATTTCTCCTTGGATAATATTTTCACGTGATACATATGATAACAAGAAACCTTCATTACCTTGCCAAGTTCTTGGAATATACTGTGCTTTCCATTGAACTCCGAGTCTCTGACAGTCATTAGTGGAAATGTTAAGGTTTTCTGTCTTACAGGCTTTCAAACCTAAGAGTAGCAAAGTAAAAAGGGATTAATTTGTCCTTTGTTTATGGCTCTCAAGCTGCCTCCTTGTTCTGGAGAATTTTGGCTTTGCAATGAGAATACAAAAGAGCTCTCAGTTTTAGGATTGAACTTTCAGAATGTGTTTACAGCTCAGTTAATGCAGTGATCTCTCTCCAAATAAAAAGGACATGAGAAAAGAGGTGCTCGCTTCACTTCAGCTTGCCCAAGAGTTAATTTGCCAATGACTAGTCCCTGTGTAAAAGTTGTTGGGGGTTGCCCTGGAAGAGCAGGTACAATACAGACTCTGCATCACAGCCAGGTTGGGGCAGGCTGGGTTTTACTCCTCACCTTGGCAAACCCCTGAGTGCAGCCACAGCACCAGGCTGATGAAATTGGGCTTGTACTGGTATCGCTTATTTTGGTCACTGGTGCTGCTTTCAGCCTAACCAGTATCACCAGCAGCCTTGCTGGGGTGCTGCTGTCTGCAGGAGCAGCTCTGTGCTGGGGCTGTGCTGTGTGCTGGTAACAGAGCTCTCATTTCAGCACAGGCTGGGGAATTGGGCTGAGTGTGGCAGGTTGTCTGAGCTCCAGGGAGAAAGTCAGCCCCAGGGACACTCATCCAAACTCAGGCTCCTGGGGCCTGGAACATGCCATCACACTCTGGGCTTTAGTTGGATGATTACAGATGAATTCCAAGTGCACTCCCTATTAAAACAATTACTGTATTTTAAGCTCTTTTTGTATAGTGTGTGAAATTACTAATTACTAGAGTGCTGCACTGGGGACTGACAGAGCCTGCTGCCTGTTGTTGGCTAATTAAGCTTTTTTCATATACTTGGGAACAGCACTGCTGAACTTCATTGTCTGGAGTCATCTCCTAAATATTCTGTTGCAATAATTTCCAACCTGCAGTTCTCATTTGTTTTATTGGAGTTTTTTTTTTTTTTTGTCTTTAACCTGTTGGTGCTGTTTTGGCCTTCAGTTTTCAGCAGCACAGCAGAGTCCTCCTTCTGACTCCTTTTTATTTGTTTTCATTTCTTCCTTTTCAGCCACCTGAACTCCAAAATGAAGAGCTTTGTAGCTAAATTAGTGAGCATGTAGGGAGTCACGGGAGGTGAGCGTGGACTATTCCCAGCTGCACCATGGAGTTTTTTACCACCTCTGTGTTGAGTTACTGGTCATGGGAGTGATTCACAGTGGTGGAAGCTGTGTCAGCCTGTGCAACCCACTCACAAAATTTCTAGAACAGTGCATCAAAGAAAAGGGTTTGGTGGGGGTGGAAGGGAGGGGAGGCCAATCTTTTTCCCTTAATGCTGTCCATAGTCAGATCCTTTCCTAGTGAACACTCAGGAACCTGAATGCCTCAGCTGGTCACATAAAGGGACCTGGATTCCAGCAGCTCTGTCCTGCCCATCGTGGGGGAAGGAAGGGCAGTGGGAATGACGGTGCTCTTGGACTGCCATGTGCAAAAAGATGAAAGGTTCCAGAGTACATTTTTATTCTTGGCTTACCTGAATGATCAGGCATCTGAGGATTGCTCCAGACCACACACCTGATGCCCTGTGATGGCTGAAATAACAGGGCAGAGCCTCCCTGCTTCTCAGGCCTTCTGTAGCCTTGAGTAGGAGAGCAGGGGTCACAGGTAGGGTCAGTTGGGATTTAACGACCTGGACTTTGAGGGAGAGGGATGATAATGGTAGGACACTGGTCTTGGAAACACCAATATTACAGGATTCTGTAACATTTGAGGTAATTGATGGCTGATTTTTCTGCCTGTTTTGCAAGAAGTTTGACATCTTGGATGTTAATGATAGGTGGTAGAGTTTCAGTGGGAATTGGAAGTTTGGAAGCAAAAGTAACTTGCACAGATCTTGTCACTCTGCCATGAGAGCAGAGATCTCTGCACTCTTGAGTTGGAGAAATGTTTCTCTGGTTAATAAAGGCCTTTTCATTTGCAACAGAACATACTAAAGGAACATGCTGATGATGACCAAAATCTTGCCATTTCGGGTGTCCCTGTGGTCAGCTGGCCCAAGAAGACTACAAAGGTAATGAGACACACTTACTTACTAACCATTCTTGTGCCTGGTCTGGTGTTTATTTGTCTATAATCTGACAAAGTGCTGTGTATTATCTGTTGGCAGCTGCTAGCATTTTTAACACAAAATGTTACTTTTAATGGTTTTATGATTAAGACTTGAAGCAAAACAAGAAAGTGCCTTAGCAGGGAGAAATTAGAGTTTCCATTTAAAAAGAATTTGTTTGAGCCTTACTTACCAGTATAAAACTTTGAAATGTCTTGATAGTTTACTAATTATGGTTAAATCTAAAAAAATTGATGCATTTTGTGTAAAATTAAATGATGTGTAAATGCTACAAATCAGTCACTTAGGGAACACTCTTGTCTGAACGAGAGGATGGTTTTTCTCTTATACTGACTGCTGTGTACATGTGCCACTTTAACTTTGAAGCATTGTTTTCTGTCCTTGTATCCTAATTTTTCCTCCTATACATGGGAGTAATTATTTTCACTTTGCAGGAGAACCATGAGGTTTGCTTCGTTAAGGCTGATAAAGAATTTTAAATAATTAACGAAAGAACAATGTCAAAAGGCTGGTTGTTATTTATAACAGTGGTATGTTTACCACACTGCAGTTATTCAGCACGCTGTAAAAGCAGCTTTGCTTATTTAGAAGATGTCTCATCGCTTCTATTTTTACTTTCATTTTTCACTGAATTAGTTTTATAATACATTATTTCTTTAGAAATGCTGAAGGGGTCGGTCAGCTTAAATCAGGCTTCGATCTGAAAATCTGTCATTGTTACCCCTGTAGATAGCTTTAAAATAATTATCAGGGAAGACAATTCATTCAGTTCTCACTTTTTCTGCTGGTGAACTTATTATGGCATGTGTAGCCATGAGATTTTGCTGTTCACAGGTGGGAAGTGGGAGACCATAAACATGGAACTGCCAGAGGAGAGTGGGGCAGGATGAGCACATCACGTTCCTTCTTGGTCTCTTTTTGGGTTTTAGCTCAGCACATTTCAGAGGAATTGTGTCTTGTTAAAGACTTATTTCCCTTTTAGCTTGTAATAAATCCATGAGAATATGCTCTGTGTTTAAAACATTGGTTTAGAAACAACAGTGGAAAACCTTGAGAAATAGTTGTGGGATTCTCCACTGCTCTGGTTTTATGGCTGCTGCTCATTCCATGGTCAGGTATATTTTGGGCATTGAATAAAGCAAAATCTCTTGACCAGAGAAAAGGTGGTGTGGGAAACATGTAAGATAAAACCAAGGAACAACTGACTCCCTTTTGAGCTTGTGAGAGAAGGGAGGATCTGAGTGCTTTGAGGCTTTTATAAGCTTTGGCATTTGTTAATGTTCTTGTTCACTTTATTTTGGATCCTTGATAAATGCTTCGTTTCTTCTCTTTTATTTCTGTGCATTGGCAATGTAACTGCAACTGTAAAGGATTTGTACTTTTTGTGACTTAAAACTTAACTGTTTTTGCAAAATCCATCTTGCTGGCTGCAAGGTTTTTTTTTCCAGGTGTTTATTTTCCTTCTGCCTTTCTAGAAAGCAAAAACATTCAGGAGGCATCATTCCCACTGGTAGGACAATATCAACCATACCAGTTAATAACAAATACAAGGAAAACTTTCACAGAAAGTTAGATTTGAGGTTGAAGTTTGGAAATAAACAAAAATTGATAGCAGAAAAAATCCTTTCACCATTTTCTTTGTATTTGCTTTGCTTAATCTGTGATCAGCTTGTGTTATGTCTTATGTTTTAGATCAAAGGTACACTTGCAGATAGGGCTGCACATTTCCCAAGAGAAATTTGTTGTGGTGCTTCTAATTGGCAAATGTCCTTGTCATCTTCCATGTTCCAGCTATTTCCCTTCCTGGGAACAGAGGCCAAGTGAACACGCTGGGAAGAGACATCTTAGAGCTGAGCCTTTGAGGTCCAAATTAAAATCTGTGGGAAAGACAGTATAGGGAAGATTTGTCTAAAAGCAGTTTTAATAGTTAAGCTTGGTTATTTCTCCTTTGTTCCCTGTAAGCCCCGATAATGAAATAGAAGATTTTACAGAGAAGAAAAACCCTTAGGGAGGGGGAAACTCCACTGGAAAATGGATTGTAGCTGGTGGAACAAGTCTCTATGGCCAGAAGATCCCACAAATGTAGAGCACAAGGCAGAGGAGTAAAATCTACAAGTAATTTTGCTTTCTGCAGTCTTGTAGTATTTATAGGAGACATGGCAGATATTTCCCAGTGCTTTCCTGAGATCCTTGTGTTCAGAGGGAGAAGGAGATCCAGTACAGCACAGTACCTGCTCATGTGGGGCTGCAAGGAGACATTTTAGTTGGTATCAGGTTCCAGGGACAGGAGGACTGACTGATTCCAAGCCATGAAGGAAAATAAGGGAACTGAAATCCAGAAAAATGAAGCAGTACATGGAAAAAAGTACATCTCTCTTGCTTGCTCCCAAGAGAAGGCTCCAGAAGAGATTTAGAAAGACAAGAACAGCAGATGGAGAAGGAAGAATAAAGCCAGCATTAAATGCCAAAACATTTCAAAGAAAATGGAAATTATTGTAAAGAAAGGAGGGGAAGAGACTAGAAATGGCAAGAGAGCAGGATTGGGAGAGAAGCAAGCACTGAAAAGGGTTGGAGTGGGAAAGGCAAAGAGCAGAGGGAGAGAACCCTGACTAAAGTCAGAGACCCCTGGAATAGGGACAGAGAGTGTGTCTATGTAAGTAACCCAAGTTGGGAAAGGTCGAGCTTGGTTACACTGACTTGTTTTGAAAGACTGTGCCTTAGTTAACCTGAATGTTTTTCAGAGCAGCAAATAATATATCTCTTTAAAACAGTCAGTTTCTTTCACGTGTTGTGAGTGTGATGTGAGCAGCGTGCACAGAGCTGCAGAACGGCTCTTGAAGCCTGTGACATGCTGGGGTTTAAGGAAGAAACCTGTTCATTCACCTCAGATCCCACTTCAGAGAGCTTGAGGTGTAATGGGCAGGACATGGAACCAAATACAGGGAAGACCCATCTGTGTGCTGTGGCCCTGCAGTGGTGCCTCACTCTGTCCACCTTTTCCAAAACATTTGGGGCTGCCAGTCACACTGCAGCTCCCTGCCAAAGAGAATGGTTCTCTGGGAAAAGAAACAGAAGTCATGATCAGCAATGATTTAGTGAGTAGATGGAATAAGTGGGTGAGATTTGATGATCTTGTGGTTAATGCACAAAATGTGAGGCTGGGGTCTGCGCCTGTTCCCAGCTCTCCTGCAGCACCTTGTGTCGTGTGAGGTGAATGGCACATTCTTGCTCCCTGAGCTTTTCCTGGTGGAGATGGGACTTCCCAGCTGGGAGGCTGGGAGGTGAAATTAATGGTTATAAAGATCTCTTGCATCGTCAGTGAAAAGTTCTGTAGTAAAATGTAGGAACCATTACTGTTTTGTGGTAATAAGAGAGATGGAGTGTGATTCATAGACACCTCTTCAGAACATATTTACTCATCTTTATGGAGCTATTTTGAGTTGCTTGTACTTCTTATAATATATTGTTAATTATTTAGCACAACAATTACTCTCCTTTAGGCACCTTTTTTTTTTTTACCCCCTTTGGAAACTCTATTTTAGAAGAAGCAAGAAGCTGTCTTTTTCTTTTAGCTGTACAGTAAGAAACAACAGTCCAGTGCCAGTGGTCTTAGGAGATGTACAACAATCCTAATTTAGGCCTGTTGAAGGAATCAGGAATGTTGGACTGAGTGGATATCTGAAGCCTGCTTGTCCTGCTGGCTGACTGACAGTTCGTGCACCTTCAGGCTGGACATTTCCCAGTGGCTGCCAGGACGGATGCAGCTGTGGATGAGCAGCCCCCATCCTGTTCCTGTGCTGGGGGCTGTGCAGCTCTGGCTTGTCCTCACTGTGTGCAGGGCTTAGTGTTATCTGGGGGGTTGCAGTCACGGATCATTAAAGTTGCAAAAACCCCCAGAATCATCAAGTCCACCCTTTGTCCAAGTCCTGCTGTGCCATGCTGTCCGAAGGGAAGAGCTCCATAGGGCAGGCTGCCTTCATGTGCTGGGTTCTTCAGCAGCTAAAGAGGAGGAGCAAGGAATCATCCCAACTAACTTCTACCCCATCCCTGGGACATGAACTTCTGGGTGGTGTGAACAGAGCCTAAACCTGATTTTCCACTGTGACAACTCACAGCTGGTCACTGGTGCAGGAAGCTGGTGCCTGCCAAGCCCAGTCTCAAAACCCATTCCTATGAGTTACTCAGCCCTGCAGTACCAGAGTTCCCACTTATCTGCACAGGAATTAGAGATAGTATTTTATTTAAGGAGCTCAGAATATGGCTTAAGCAGAAACCACGTTTTTCAATCCATTTCCTATTTCTGGAAGAAAATAGTCAACTCCAGCAGCATGTAATTACACTCTGTGGCAGTGCCTTCTGTTTTTATCGTGATAAAGATCTTTACTTGTCTATGAAGAGCAGCTATAAAGAACTAAAATATGTTTGGACTCTCCTGTGCTGTGAAGAGTTAGAAATGCAGACTGGGAGCTGGATTCGCATCTCTCTTACCTGGCACAAAACTAAAGCCACTGCATTTGCAATGAGAGCGAGTGTCCAAATATATTTAGGTCTGGCTGTAAGCAGGAGATGGAGCTGTAATTTTCAGGAGCTGGTTAACAGTGCTGCAATATGTGGCTGTTTCTCTGATGCCTCTTCATACTCTTTCTCCATGTAATTTTTACCTGCTGATTTTAAAAGAAGATAGCTGAGAAGTCTAATAAGGAAATGGTAATATTCCTATTTAATGGAATACTTTTAATTAGTAAAGGCCACAAACTGAAACTTTGATTGGATTATTGGTTTTTTTAAACACCAGTTTCCCTGCAATTGGTATTGCAAATAATGTTCATAGCTCTGCATCAAGGCATGAGAACCAGGAAGAAAAAGTGATCATTGAAAAAAAAAAAAAGGAAGGAGTCTCTCAGGCTATTTTTTTTTTTTTTTGTTGGGGTGGTCACAGGTGG